TGAAATCAAAGATTGTTTAACTGTGTAAATAAAAAAAAAAAAAAAAAATCAAGATATATATAGATTGTTTTTATAGAAATATAAATGTCGGCAATGTCGGTTAAGGATTACAAGGCAAGGGTTACACTTACCGTACATGAGAGATCTTAAAAAGGTATGTTTTAATTTAAGTGATATTCTAGAACAGGATCAACCCAGTAATAAATAATAAAATGGATTGTTTAAAGTACTTTAAAAATTTAAGTGATATTCTAGAACAGGATCAACCCAGTAATAAATAATAAAATGGATTGTTTAAAGTACTTTAAAAATATATAGTTTTTGTTAAAAATTCTATAAAAGACAAAATTGATTTAACAAGGACAAATGATAGTCCGTCTGACAATCATACAATGCGCCCAAAAAATTCTAAGAATGGATATCAAATTTATTATTCAAAATTTCAATAAATAGGCTAAAAGATCGGGTTTTATTTGAAAAAAAATTTTAGTCGGTTTTTCGACTATCCTAAGAAAAAAAGGGGGCTGGATTCCCCATATTTCAACGTCATATATATTTTTAAACGTCATATATATATTTCAAACGTCATATATATATTTCAAACGTCATATATATATTTCAAACGTTATATATATATATTTCCACATCAAATATATCTATTTCAACGTTAAATATATATATACATATTACAACATTCTTTAATTCTTAATTCTCTAGTTTTACACTAGAAAAAAATTATATGAGGACAATATTGAAGGGAAATATTGAGGACAATAAACAAAATAATTATAAATATGAGCGCATATATTCCAATTCCTAGCGAATCCCTGGGATTCAAAAGATTTGAAGTATATGCGACGTGTGCGATTTCTATATATTTTTATGATTCAATCATACATGTTAACGAAGTTTGGGCTTGGTATTCAAAAAAGCAATGGATAATATCAGATTTCATATGTTTTATTCTTGATAAGTAAGTATCCTAAATTTAAGAAATTTATATGAATTTTATACCATTCTAACAGCGTCTCTAATTACACCTTTACATTAAATGACACATCTCGATATATAATTAATAAAGAATAAATACGCTAGCGTACTGTATGGTGATATTGTTATTTCTTTACTTTGTCGAACAAACTTCAATGACTTGTGGCTCTCTATCACTCCTTTCGCTGAGTTACTACGCACTCGGAATAATTTTTCAATGTTTAATCTTACTTTCAATTCTACGCAAATTTTACAAGTCAACCATAATACTTGTGATTCTATTTCTATTCGCTGGTACAACATCTATTTTACATGTAGCGAATATTTTTGGATTTGGTAATTTCGTTGAGGGCAATGATGGGAATTGTTATTTACAAAGAGGACAAAGTCCGGAACAATTTGTTCCTGCAGGATTTGTTATGATGGCAATTTTTTGTTGGGTGATTTTTGGATTGATTGCAATCCGAATTCTTAAGATGTGGGATTCTTTAAACGAAAAGAAGCAAATAAGACAAAAATGGCGAGAAATTTTGTTTGTTGATGTAAGTTATTAATATTTTACATTTCATATAAATAAGTATTCTTATTAATATATATAATATAATATGCTAAATTATATCATTATTATTATATAATTATTATTCACATATTCACAATATTCACAGGGATTATTTTACTTAGGTTTAATAGCATTATTTCAAACGATAAACGTAATCTTCATTTTAGCATCCCAAGGTTTCTTTGAACGATTCATCAACGTAACGCCAACCCTAATTCTCACATCAATATGTGCTAAACACCTCATATTTGCAAAATCCAACAAAAAGAACAATAATAATTCTATGACAGCACCTCTGAACGTCAAAGTTCAAGATAATGATTCATTCATAATAAATGACATATTAGAACCACCAATATTAACTATTTCACGTGATCGAAGCCGAAGCATATTACCAACTAATTCAACTAATTCATTTGCCGGAGTTCCCAATTCATTTGCCGGAGTTCCCATTTCACCAACTAATTCAGTTAATTCAACAAATTCAGTTAATTCAACAAATTCAATTAATTCAACGAATTCATTTGCTGGAATTCCAATTGCTCCACCAACACCAATAATGATTTCAGATTTTGGTCCTTCATTGACAACTTATTTTAATAATTATACTACAACGAATCTAGACAATAGTCGACCAAGTAGTAAACAACATAGTCGACCACATAGTAAACATAATAGTAAACATAGTAGTAAATATAGTGGTAAACATATTAGCAATGCAAATAATAATAGCAGGTTACAAGTTGTCCAATCTACAAGTCAGACCGGAAGTTATAGCAGTCGTGTAAGCAAAAGATCAACACACACGATATTACAATCTATATTTCGAAGCAATAGTAATCATAGTAACAATAGTAATCATAGTAACAATAGTAACGATAGTAATGATAGTAATAACAATCTGATACCACATGAAAATCAACGTAGGAGTAACCTAAGGAGATCACAAGGAAGGGTGATGGAATCAGATGATGTTTATTGTTTCCGGTACAGTGAATTTGATGATGATGTATTTTTATTTCCTGCTATACCACCACAAAACCCTTCAAAATCAAATGTTAAAGGAAAATTGACTAGTGTCAATAAACCATTACCACCAAAACCTGGATTTTTCTAGAACGTTCATTTTGGAAATAACTTGCATTTTAAAATAACTTGCATATACAAAACCAATAACGTATTCAAACCAGTATTCAAAAAAAATTTCCAACTAATGCTCAAACCAACTAATATTTAAACCAATATTAACAAACAAAAAAAAAAAATTAATACAATTAATACAATTTGTCATCAGCTCATCAGCTCATCGTCATATGTATAATAAACCATTTTTGTAGATATTTTTGCAATACATAATAAAGTCTACGTATGTCTAGGAGTCGACCAGGGCGGCCCCCCCAAAGTACGGATACACAAGCCGCAGCTTATAATATAACAATTGCATATAATATAAAATTACAATTGACAAGTTATTAATACTTGTCGATTGTAATTTTATATTACATGCAATTGTTATATCCGCACTTCGGGGGGGGGGCCGCCCTGGTCGACTCGTATGTCTAGCATTAGACATCAAGTTAGTATGTAACTACGTATAAGGTCATTTAGCCATTTAGTATTCGGGATTTTTTTGTTACTGAAACTGGTTACGTTTTAAAAAGACCTTTGTTGCCTTTTTAAGCTACACCTGATTTCTATATGTGATTGTGTTATTTCCCCTTTGTGACTATCTTAAATAAAGATTACATAAAAGTATAAAGAAACCTGGTTTTCATAATTTTGATTGTTTGTTTCAAAACAAAAAGCTCATGATACTCGGCCGTAGATGTTTCTCATACT